AGAGTGCCATGGCATCACGCTCACAGCAACCTCCAACTCCTGGGCTCAAGCAAGTCTCCTGCCTCGGCCTCCCAAGTAGCTGGGACCACAGGCACCCGCCACAACGCCCGGCTATTTTTTTGTTGTAGCCATTGTTTGGCGGCCTGGGCTGGATTCGAACCCGCCACCTCAGGTGTATGTGGCTGGTGCCTTAGCCGCTTGAGCCACAGGCGCCAAGCCAAAACTAGAATTTTTCAAATAAAACTGAAAGCTTTCTTATTTTGTTGTGAATATACAAATCCTTCTATAGTAAATTACGTATTATGTATTACTGGAAACACTAAAATCGTGCATAGTTAATGAGTAAGCTCACCCAAAACAAACAGCTTTGTAATCAGAATACTAACAAAAATAAATCTTAATGAAAATACTAAAATATTTAGAAATATATCTCAAGTTTATCACAAGTAAAGAAATACTGCAGTCAATTTGGGGTTAAATAAAAAAAAATGAAGGATATCAAAGAAGAGTCGAAGGTATAAGATTATGGATTTCAGAATAAAAGATAAAGATTTATAGAGACGAGCTCATTAAGCACTTACAAGAAAGAGCATGTGGCCAAACTGTACTGAAGAGAAAGAACATGGGTTGAATGAAAATTACGTATGGTACTGTATTCCCAGCAGCCTGCTGCTTTCCTCTGTTAGCCTATTTTGGGTTCAGTTGTTGTTATTTAATTGTGCAAAAACATAGGCTGGGAAAAATCATGTATAAACCAATGCGAATTTTTTTACATTACACTAAAATCATTTCTCTATTTAGCAGTAAGCTAATTCATGTTAAGGAAAAACTTTGTAACAGAACAGGTTGTACTAAGAATGTATGCTGTCTATTTTTGACTTGAGCTCTCTGATAAGTCCACGGCCACTTTCTGATTTGAATTTTTTGTGAAATGAAATAGTATAATTAAAAATAATCTAGCACAGCCTTTTCCCCTTTGGATTTATTGTTTTAATTTTAAACTGTAAAAATAAGAAACATGTTAAAGAAAAATTGTAAAATAGAACAACAAAGAAAAAATTTCTAAGTTAGTAATCTAAATCACTGTTCTTTTTTTGTATGTTTTACTTTTTTACCAGCTTTTATATGCTTCTTTATTTTTTTAGTCTTCAAGACAGTCATTTTTAATGGCTACTAAATATTAGATTGAATAGATGTTTTAGTTTACCATTTATCTATGATAGAATATGATTTGTAACTTGTTTATAGTTTTCCATTATCTTTAATAATTCTTGGATGAACACTTGTGTGTAGGGGAAAGGAGAATGGATTAGGAGGGGGAAAGAAATATTTTTTCCTACATAGGATTATTTTACCATAATGACTCATGTGTAATTTTTAGGTCAAAGAGTATGAAATTTTAAAATTACTTTTGTTACATCTTGCCAGTTAGCTTTCTAGAATGGCCCCAGGTCCTTCGCCAAAATTGCATA